GGGGTCATCTACTAATCATGACTAACCTCCATGCCAAATATGAAGACTGTGGGTAAAAGGAATCTTAAGTTATTGGAGGGACAAGCTTTATGAAGTCAAGGCCCCTGTGACCTTGACCTTTGACCTGGTAACCTCAAAGTCAATAGGGGTCATCTACTAATCCTGATCAACTTCCATGTCAAATATGAAGACTGTGGGTCAAAGCAATCTTCAGTTATTGGGCGGACAAGCTTTTTGAAGTCAAGGCCCTTGTGACCTTGACCTTTGACCTGGTGATCTCAAAATCAATAGGGGTCATCTACTAATCATGACTACCCTCCATTCCAAATATGAAGACTGTAGGTCAAAGGAATCTTAAGTTATTGGGCGGACAAGCTTTTTGAAGTCAAAGCCCCTGTGACCTTGACCTTTGACCTAGTGACCTCAAAATCAATAGGGATCATCTACTAATCATGACTAACCTCCATGCCAAATATGAAGACTGTAGGTCAAAGGAATCTTAAGTTATTGGGCGGACAAGCTTTTTGAAGTCAAGGCCCCTGTGACCTTAACCTTTGACCTGGTGACCTCAAAATCGATAGGGGTCATCTACTAATCATGACTAACCTCCATGCCAAATATGAAGACTGTAGGTCAAAGGAATCTTAAGTTATTGGGCGGACAACTTTTTTGAAGTCAAGGCCCATGTGACCTTGACCTTTGACCTGGTGACCTCAAAATCAATAGGGGTCATCTACTAATCATGACTAACCTCCATGCCAAATATGAAGACTGTAGGTCAAAGGAATCTTATGTTATTGGGCGGACAAGCTTTTTGAAGTCAAGGCCCCTGTGACCTTGACCTTTGACCTGGTGACCTCAAAATCGATAGGGGTCATCTACCAATCATGACTAACCTCCATGCCAAATATGAAGACTGTAGGTCAAAGGAATCTTAAGTTATTGGGCGGACAAGCTTTTTGAAGTCAATGCCCCTGTGACCTTGACCTTTGACCTGGTGACCTCAAAATCGATAGGGGTCATCTACTAATCATGACTAACCTCCATGCCAAATATGAAGACTAAAGGTCAAAGGAATCTTAAGTTATTGGGCGGACAAGAAAAAACCGACGGACGGACGGACGGCCGGACGGACAACCTGATTCCAGTATACCCCCCTTACAACTTTGTTGTGCGGGGGTATAAATATACACTACACTTAGTACAAACCAGTATGTTAAAGGACCTCATGAATGACTTATTTTTGTTTGCTCTTTGTGAGGGTACTCTTAAGAACAGAATAGAACAGAAAAGGTCAAAGTTACATATATATCAAATGAAACTTGGGCCAATGGTGTTGCTCACTGAGATTGAAATACATGTTTCAAATTTCTTTTTTATGTAGTGGAAGGGGGAGATGGGGTGGGAGTGGGATCACAGAGAATATCCCATTGAATGCATATGCATATTTTTGCAATCACTTTTAACAGGCTTCATTGTGATCCTCAATTATACACAATAAGCTTCACAAATTGAAATAATATGTTGGTTCCTATAAACAAATTGTCCATCAGGTGTGTATTGTAATTTGTGTTCTATAATTCCTTGTATGATCATACAAGTTGGTTTCTTGATAGTTTTAATCATCTTAAAAAATATAAAATGAAAGGGATTTACTTTTTATTCACAATTACCTTGGTTTTATTATACTTTTACTTCTAGAAAATAAAGACTTTTTATTTTGATACACAATGCGGGATTACCTGTGCAAAATGATTAGTTATTTTCAACAATTTGAAGCAGTCTGCTTTCAAGTTATATACAATACGTCTTTTAAACCGCATTTAATTAAACATCTAAAATTCTTTTCAGTTTAATAAAGTATGTACAAGTTTGTGATAATGGACTTCTCTCTAGTTGTGTATAATTATACTGGGGTTTGAGTGCTTTTCATTTAGGTCTATATTGACTCAGATTTTATGTTTTCAAAGATTTTTTTTTCTGTTTTAAAATACCTCCAGACTGCATAACAGTGTGGCAGATATTGGTTTATTGCAGTTATTAGTGCAACAAAGGATAATTCAAAATGGATTAAATGAAAAAATCATTGTTGTGGATAGTTATACAAATTAATCTTTTTAATGTTTATATGTCTGGAGATTATAATGATGTTGATTATTTTGTTATTGAATTAATCTCACTGAAGTAAAATCAACCGTATATGTGTTAAAGCAAGTCTGTTATAGACATGTGATGATTTTGTTTTTTTTGCATTTCTTAATTGTTTATACCTAAGTGTTTTTCTGAAAATAAAAAAGTGCTACAATTGAAATTACTTTGAATGATTTTGCAAATTAATTAACCAGAAAAGTTCTCCTAAATTTAATTACAAAGTGAGTAATAACCGTGTCAAAGTTCTTAAAAAAGAATGGATGGAGGGAGTTAATTTTTTTCTTGATCTGCATTATTAATAAGTATCTAGTAAACATTGAATTGATGAGTGGGGAGGGGTTTGGGATTATATTATTGCTTTATTAATTATGAATTGGACATTGGATAAAAATGTGTAGAAGTAAAAATTCAAATACATGATAAGTTTATAAAGTGACAACATTTTAATTTGAGGATATTTTGGTTGAGAGACTTTCTATTTCAATATAAACTTATAAATTTGTCTATGATCAGTGACTTTCTCTATAAAATAAGTTACTTTAAAAAAATAAAATAGGAACACAAAATAATAAACTTCATGGGAAAGATTTTCCATTCTTTAAGGAAACTAAAAATATAATTTTAATGCAGAATGTGATTCATATTTAAACAATGTTATATAGGTAATGGTAAATGAATTAAGATTAAGGTTTTAATTATTGTATAATAAGTCTGCATTTACATAGACATAGCTAAATTATGGAGTGTTTAGGATTTTAAAGAATTAAATATTTAAGATATTAAATAAGTGAGATGTGTTGATAATTTGTGTAGGATCAAATCTGAGTAAGTTTGTTTTAAAATTTTGAGAGAGCTTTTTAAGTTTAAATGATTTGTCATGGCTACCATTATCGTAGCTAATGATCAGCTTGTATGTCTATAGTGAGTCTGACCGTATAATATAATAGAAAAAAATAATTTAAGCTGCTCTGTTTTAGTTACATTGTTTCTTACATGTAGCATTAATTTATACAGATTCATGTATTTTCATTACTAATTTTACTCATTACATATAGCCACATAGGAATAGTAAAAGGTGGAACCTACAAACTATAATACTAGTTGTATACAGATTATTTCAGGTTTTAGGTATGAAAAATATAGGACTGACATCAAGGTTTATATTAAAACTTTAACCTGGCTGAAGGTAATAACAATTAGGTTTATTATTAAATCTAAAACAAACTAGTTCTTTATTCTGCCTAAATTAAAAGTTGATTTTGCAAATAATGAACATCTTATTAAGATTTTTAATGATTAGTGATTTCAATTGATAAGAAGGATCAAATTTGGTTTATATTAGGTATATAGGACATATATATTACTAATTGTTGGAATTATATCCGACTTTAACTAAAGTTATATATGTAAAGTGATAAGTGCATTTTGAATGCAAATAAAAAATTTCTTGCTATATAAATACAATAGATGATATCTGCTGGAGGTCTGTATATAAACTAGAAGAAAATTTAATAGAAACAAGCCTGGATTTATGACTATCCCGAAGTGCATATTTAGAATTCTATATTTATATAGTGTGTAGTTTATATTGATTGTTTCTCTCTATTAAATAGATAAACAATAAGGATTTTCAATAAGAAAATTAATTTAAATGGTGTCTGAGCAAATAGGATTGAATAATGTTGATTTTTTTATATCAATATCTTACTTATTAAACTAATTAAAAGCATTTTTGAGGAATGATTTTTAAGAATGTTGAATGATATTTATGGATTAAAATCAAATTCATTAATCATGGAAACATTTTTTGAGAACAGTGATATTATTAAAGTCAATGAGTGCATTTAGATCATTTTGGAAGGTTTGAACACACAAATAAATCTACTTTCATTTAAAAAATTTTGAATTGGAATGAGCTGAAACAATTTAATTAGATATCTTTATATTTTGTTCTTCTTCATGTTCAGCTCACCTGAGCACAACATAACTCAAAGTGAGCTATTGTGATCATTCTGTGATCATTCTGTTTTTCTGCCTCAAAGTCAAATAATTAAATGTCATCTCCTCCTCAATCCTTCGACTGGTTTTGATGAAACATCATAGAAATGACCTAATTAATATTGGAATCTTGTCCATGTAAATCATATTCTCAGGTGAGCGGGCAGGGACCATCATGGCCCTCTTGTTAGAGCATTTTGAATCATGAAATTATAATTTTTTGAATATTTTGTAATTTGAATAGACTTTAAGTTAAAGGGATTAGCAATCTGATGTTTATTATGTATGAATTCAAAATGATATTTGTGTATATTAAGTATTTAATTAAAATAACTGCATGGGATGTTTGATATCAGCTGACATTTTGGCTGATTGATTATTGATTATTTCATTGATTTCACACATAGAAAGAAAAGTAACATTTCTTCTAGCACTCTGATTATGATTAAAAGTTCTGTTAAATGGAGTTTATTGATGGTTTTATATTAGCAATGCCATATTGGTGTATGGTTATTTATGTTTATCAAGTTATATCATTTAAGTGTCGATCATTCAATATGCCGAATAAGTTTAGATTAATGATGACATTCGGGTTATGATTAAAGAGCAGGTTGTTTATTAAAGGATGTGGGAAATAAATAGTAAAGCTCTAATCTTAATAAAATAGTCAGTATTGAGTAATAGGGAAAATAATAGTCTAAGATGGATATTTATTTTTTGACAAAGTTTCCTTCTGAGACTGATTGTATTGAATATAGGATAATTACATGTAACAAAATATGAAAGAATTCATTTCAGATATAAAAAATCAGACACTTTAAAACTTTAAATATATTTATAGTTCTTTTATGTTTTTTATAAGATTTCTTTTCTTTCAAAAAATAGTTTCACCAAATATTGTTCTTTGACAAACACTGCTTTAAATTTAAATATTTGGATACATCGTGCATCAGTTTACACTGAACATACAGTTTACATAACTTTCTTTGAATTAATATCTCGTGACAAAGTGTTGTGTGCAAAGTGCTTTATGGTATGAATAGTGTAAAAAAAATTGTAAAAGATGTAAACATGCAATTTGAACGCAGTTATTGATTTGAAAGAAATGTAAACTTGAATGTCTGATCATGGCTGAAACTATAAAAAAGCTGCCTGGTCGACCATCAACTGCACCTTGCAGAGTTACTCCCCTTGGAAATGATCATTTGGCTCCGGCTACACCTTTTTATGTGGTTTGGGTGAAAAGTCTTCCGACAAGAGGTATAAAAATAGTTTTTGCATAATTACACTGAAATGTTTATATTATTTAAATGTTTTATTATTATTTATATTGAAAAACAAGTGCTTATAATCAGAGAGTACGACCTTAATGATAATTTGTTGACGTAATGACAGTGTTTCTTACATTGGACAAAGAAGGAGATAATTTAGTGTAATATGACCTATAGTATTTTGTAATTTGTTTCACCTTTGGTTTGGAATGAAGCACCTGGCACATGGGAATGGATTAGAATGATGGAAATTGTAGTAATTTTATAGTGATGTTTTAGAATAGCAAAATTTACCTTATGTCTGCCAACAGTGTAAATGATACGCCTTTGATACCAGTGTAACAATGTCTTACCTAAACCTGCACATCCTGACCTTTCCAGTGTACTTAACAATAAAAAATTCCAAACTTAAAGTACTAAAGTTAGGCAAGTTCATTACACAAGTTAGGCAGGATTTGGTTCAACTTTGTATTGGTAATAGTGTTAGTATGACCAGAGCTCAAGACAGTATCTAACAATTCTATAATTAAAATTCTCCCAGTCACGAAATTTAGTAAAGAGTAAGTTTTCATTCTTTCTATATATATTATATATTTATTTATCTTTAGTCATTATTTAGAAAAGTCATTTTTCAGGAGTTATATATTATTTAACAGAAATTATCAAATGTGTTGTTTTTTGTGGAAAAATTTCAAGTCGAAAAGTTCATTTTTTTGGGGGGGGGGGCTGGAGGGGGGGAGGGGGAGAGGGATGAGTCATAATCATTGCAGTTTCACAAACATTTTAAATTTCCTTAGTTCCTTCTGGTGGGGCTTCTTTTTCTTCGTAGACTTATTTATATTTTTCTGCTTAATGTAACCCAAATACTAAACTATAGTCTGTAACTTCTAAAATAACCTTTTAACTTCCCTATAGCTTGAGCTCTGTACAGTAGTTCTTTGTTTGGTTGTTTGACCTCTGCACTATTTTTATTACAGAGAAGCTACCTATTCACTACCGTAGTAACAATAAGTCGAAGCAGCAACAAATAGTTCCAGTTTCAGCTGCAAATGTGCATGACCTCTCACATGTTCCGGTTGACCTATTATCAAATGAGGATGAAGATGGCAGACAATCTAGAAGCTCTCTCTTCTCACCAAAACAACAAAAACCACCCGCATTTCTACCAGGTTGGTGATGGGCTGCACTAAATGTTTGGGCACTCACAGGGCAGATTCATTTATAAAAAGTAGTTCCAAAACTAATGTTTTACTTCTCATGCAATTTTTATCTTGAAATAAAAAGTTAGGAGATCCTGTGCAGCATCCATGGGAAGATTAAACATATATAAGATGAATTTGTGAATTTTTAAAAAAAGGAAATCAGTTTCAGGCACAAAAAAAGGTATCTTTTTTTTTTTTTTTTTTCAAGAAGTGTGGTCAGCTAGTGGTGCCATCAGATTGGACTTTTTCAGTTATAGATCTGTAATACATGAATAAGTTGAAATATAAATTTAAATGGATACTGCTCACAACAACTAACATTAGAAATCAATATATGCACTAACAGCTGACGTAACTTGTAATGTTGCTTTTTTTTAGTTAGATTATATTTTTACCAACTTATGCAACAGAGAAAGAACTCCTTTAAAGTTGCTTGTGTCCATCAACACAGACCAGTATGTTTAATGTTTCATCTCCATGTCAGCTACTATAAAATGATGGACTAAACCAAGATGTGAACAACAGAACCTTCTAATTTTCTGGAAAATCATTCTTTTCAAGTGCTTTAAAGTTTTCGATTAACTTACAACTTACTGCTTCCAAATTTTAGTCTGTCAGACTTTAACAATTGGAGTGTCCAAATTAAGTTGCTCATGAGAACGTTTGTTTTTCAATTCAACAGAGAAAAATACCGGCTCAGAGAAAGTATTTAGAAATGCTTTTCTTGTTTGTCACGGGAAAAGTTCTGTACCGCTTGGTAAGAGTAGAATAGATCTGTTCTATATATAGAATAATTGTTTATTAGAGCACATGTAATCATAGAAACAGATCTTAGATATTTATTATAAGATAATTTAAAACAGGTACAAGGTTATAGGCTAAGTTATTATATACCTGGAATATAGATAATTTCATACTGATCATCCTGTTTGATGGATAATACCTGCCATAACAGATAATTTACCAGTTATATTTTATGTCTGTCTCTGGCAGGAATGTGTCCCTAAAACCTATTGGTTTACAGTTAATATCCAACCTCACTTTTTATGGACTCTTCATTAGTTTACCTTTTTTAATTGCTTTGTACCATCATCATCTCTTAATACTGAATACTTACTTAACTGCAGCCACCCTCCCACTTTACCCTACACTCTTACAATGTCAGTGGTAAATTTTTCAAATAAATTATTTTCAAGAGCATTATGTAGAATGTTATCATAAAGGAGATAAAATACAGTAACTATTTTCAGTCTTTCTTTCAATATCTTGAATTTTTATTTAAAGGGCAGCAAATGCCAGAAACTTATTCGATGATAAAGAAGATTTGTCTCCCTTTATGAAGTTTTCCTTTGGAGCTATTATTATAATATTTTATATTTACTATCATAATTGTGTCCATCTTAACCACCTTAACAAAGATGAAAGGTGGGTATTTTTACTGGAAGGATAGCCAGGGACTATCTTACTTGCCCTGGTGTCAGTGATGTTGCCATTTCACAAAGTTATTTACCATTCTAAAAGGCATTCATCACTTGAGACTTCAAATATTTTTGAATATGATAATGAAAGGTAACTTTTAAAGATCCACAACTCTATTATGATCTTTGAGTGAAGTATACCTGTTTATGAAAGTAGAATGTTTACCGTATGTTTATCTCTGAAACTACTGAAGGTATTTACTTGAAACTGCTCCTAGACCTTTGTTTTTACAGACAATATCTATACAGGAATTGATATATTCATCAAAATTAAACAAAAGATTAACTGATCTCACTTTATGACTCTTATTTCTTAGTTAAAAGATAAAGATAAGTTAAAAGGTAAAGATAATAATGACCTCAAAACTCAAAATAAAAAAAATAAGTCAGTTGAATAACATATACAAGACAAGACAATTATTGCCAAATTCACTTTTCAAGTTAATATATTTAAAGGTCAAGGCTGGTTTGACATTGGCTTTTATAGAGGTAATATCATTCCTTAATCAGCTTCATTGTTACCTTTTATTAGCTCGACTTTTCTATGAAAAGGGGAGCTATCCTACTCGCCCCGGCGTCGGCGTTGGCGTCACACCTTGGTTAAGTTTTTCGTACCACCCCACTTTATTTCAGAAGTATTACAAGTATGGCTTTGAAACTTACCATACTTGTTCACCATCATAACCTCCATCTACAGACAAGAGTACATAACTCTGTCAAGGTTTTTGACAGAATTATGGCCCTTTTTTGACTTAGAAAGTGTATTGAGCTTGGTTAAGTTTTTTTGTACCACCTCACTTTATTTCAAAACCATTGGAGGTATTGCTTTGAAACTGACCATACTTGTTTACCATCACGACCTTCATCAACAGACAAGAGGACATAACTCTGTCAAGGTTTTTGACAGAATTATGCCCCTTTTTGACTTAGAAAATACATTGAATATGGGTAAAATCCACTTATTGCCTTAACCCTTTGAGAGATATTGCTTTGAAACTTTTAATGCTATTTCACATCATTACCCCCATCTGTACGCAAGAGAAGGTAACTCTGTCAAGGATTTGTTTTAAAAATTAAGGCCTTTTATCGACTTAGAATCTTGGTTAAGTTTTTAGTACCAGTCCACTTTTTGACTGAACTGTTTGAGATATTAATTTGAAAGTTGGAATACTTGTTTACAATCATGATTCCCAAACATGTCCAGGAGAAGGTAATTCTGTCAAAGATTTTATTTGAATTATGGCCCTTAACTGTCAATGTTTTGTATTATAGGCAAGCACTAAAAAACTTAAAAAATCTAAAAAAATTCATTCCTATCCACTTGTTCACTTTACCATAAATTATGTCATAGTAAAATAATTCTTCACTAAATATCTTAATGCTCATGGCCATTGTTCACTTTAAAAATACAGAGATTCTTGTATTGCCTTTTACTGCAAAAACTTTTTTTATTGGCAAGCAATAAAAAAGTCGAGCGCGCTGTCTTACGGACAGCTCTTGTATTCCTTACCTTCACATGTTTTAATTAAATAACTTTATTTCTAGAGGTAAAATAATTGGTTTTTCATTTTGATTATGACTATTGAAATCTAAAAAGAGCAATGTTATCTTACTATTATTAATATCTTTGTAAACTTTTCTATACAAATTTACATTGAAAAGCTGGGAACCGTGTACAGAAATGGTATCAGATACCATTGTTCAAAATAAATTGCATGGTTCTTGGCTATAGAATCAATTTCTCTATTCCCTTTTTACTGTTGCTTCTTCAATAATTAATTATTGTAGCTAGCTGTGTATAAGCTTGAATAATGAAATATTCAACATTTCTAACTACGTTCATCAATTGTGTTTATAAGTAACTTAAAACTGTCTCTTCATTATGTGAAATGATTCTTTTTCATTATTTAAGGATCTTTGTGTTAATTTATATATGATTTTACCTAATAAACTTTAAAACAGGATACAAGATGTTGATACCAAGTTCCAAATTGTTTTGTTTATGATGGATACAAAAACATAAAGAAAAATTATGGATAAAATGTTGATATTAATAAAATGATAGTTTACAGTAAAAGTGATAACAATACATATGATTTGAAAATAGTTCTGAGTTATAGAGGATGTGAAAATGTATAGGAAAATATAAGTTACATTTAGGTGAAATTAGATATAATAATATATAAAATTGGATAAGTAATAGAAATGTAATATAATTACACTACATGTATTTGTAAAATTTATTTGAACATATTAAAAAAAAATTACTAACGGAACCAGCATATTGTGATGCAACATTGGCCAATATGACTGTGGTGTTGGTAGTTTACTCTCCAGATCATGCAGTGAACCACTTTGAATTCGCCAGAGCTTGGCTTAAATCATAAAATAATACATAAAGTTGTATAAAGTACAATAATATATTATGGAAGTGGAGAAAGTTATCATTCTGCTGAATTAAAGTAAAACAAAAGAAGGAAAATACCACAGTGATTCAGAGATGAAAAGTTTTAAAGTTTTTCAAGGTCCATATGTTGGTGCATACACCACATCAGCTTTTGTAAACAGTAAGTTTTGATATTGTTAACCAAAGGTTTTGATCTGTTAACCCTTAAAGTGCTGGAACCAAAAACGTCAAGCCTTTGCCACCAGTATAGAGTCAGGCCAGCCTGCACATCTGTGCAGTCTAACCAGGCTCTATACTGTTGGCTGACAAACTTTAAATATTCAAATTAATATCCCTAAAATTCATAATGGGCAGTCCCAAAAATGGAAGTGGGACAAGTTCATTTAAAATATTCAGCATGTTCAGGGTAAAGTTAATTAGTTTGCAGATTGTAAAGAATCTGTTAGATACATCATAAAAGGTAAAATAGATTGCCCAAATAGCCTGCTAGAGCAGTAATTGCATGACTGCAGTTACTGATGGAATATAGATATCTATTATATACATTTTATACCTTTACTCCAGGAAGAAATTCTAGTTGCTAGATATATACAACAGATATAATTACTACAGTTATTTATGTGTTGACCACTTTCAAATACTCATCTCATTATTATAATTATATTCTTTATTATTTTTAGCTCGTCTATTTCCAAGTTATGATCACTGTGACGTTGTCATCATCATTGTTGTTGTCTTATAAAAACTTTAATGTGACCCATTATTCAGACAATTTAAAAGTTATCAATATAAATTTGGAATAAATGTTCTTGTATATCATGACAAAGTGCAGTTGTTAAACAAAGAGCATAATTCTGAAAAGAATAGTTTTGGAGTTATGCCCCCTTTTAACTTAAATTTTTAGAAAATAACAAGGCATACAATGCTCTTGTTTTGAGAGAATGTTTGTTTTAACTTGTTAATTTTTTTTTTCATTTTTGTTGGCTGTTAAGTCATCTCAAGACTGTTTGTTAATGTGTTTACTTTCAAGCTATAACTGGTAAAGGAAGGATGAAGATATACATGTATTTATCACATGCCCACGCCACTTTTCTAACTCTGTAAAAAAATATCATGGCACAAGTGTATGTAATAAGCAGAAATGTTATTCATATGAAATGTATTTGTACATTCATCAAATTTATCATTTTAGTTAGTAAATAAAAAACCTGTCAGAAATGTTCAGATATTATCATTTTTGTAATGTTTACAATGTTAAATTTTTCTATGATGCTCCTGATTTTAAAAAAAGCTTTATTAAAACAGGATCGTGCAACTTTTTGTCAATCTGGTATTTAAAGGGTATGTGATAAATACAATATTATATGAGTTTAGATTCCATACTAAATTCATTCATCTTGTTGAATAAAATTGTTTGAAGTCTGCCAGAGGCTCACTTCTATTATTAATAAATGCAATATGGAATCCACAGTTATATAGTATCTTCTACTTCTTCCCAGTAATATCATATCAGTTATTGTACATTGAGAGACATGTTATTATTCTTGTTTAGTTTCGTTGTTTTCCTACCAGCAGACACACACTTTCACCCTGTATCAATGATATATGTTAATTGTGTCTTGTAGGGGACAGAGTGATATTTGCAGAGAGCCCATCAGCCCCAGGGATACCTGTTGTTTATAGGACACCAGATGAACGGTCTTCCAATCCTGATAGACTTAATCTGGATAGGTAGTCTTTCCTCTATCCTGAAATATGTAATCTATTGAATCATTAGTTATTGTTGAACATTTTTCTACCTGTACATAAGATTTTTCTTTCATTGTATTGAGAATAACTTCAAGATGACCTTGACTTTCAAGGTTGTTTTATCAAAATTAAAAAACTACCTTGAGGGTTTTGATGTATATTTTAGAAAACAGTGTATTTTGTCATCTTGTTTTGAGATTTAGTATTAATTTTGCCCTTTTGAAAGCAATATCACAAAAGTTGAATTGTATTATCCAATAATTTCTCAGTGATATTTATCAAAGCTATTTGAAAAAATTTCTATATTTATTTAGACGGAAGTTGACAGTATGTCCGATATTGGAGGGAGAGGAACAGTTACGTCTGCTGAATTATCAGCACAATCAGATAACAAAAATACAACATCTCGGCAGCCTTAAACGGCTGATATTTCTTGATCTCTATGACAATCAAATAGAGGAAATATCTGGTCTTAGTTCACTCAAATCACTGAGGGTACTTATGCTGGGTAAAAATAAGTAAGTGAAATTAATTCTTTCTGGCTTCATACTACATGCAGTTGAGAAAATGATTGTATATACAGTAAACTCTACTTACAATAATATACCTTATAACAATATACCAATAATAACGATGCTGTTGCCCCGTGTAGACTCTTGTTTTCAGATTGGTTGCTTCAGGTATATAACAATATATATTTTGGCAGTCCCCTGAATATTGTCATCTATAAGGGCAGTACATGTATTTATGTTGATCATCTTCACCATTAGCTGAGATGTGGTCTAATGGTTTAGGTATCTGCCATCACAACTAAGGATTTGTGGGTTCAAGCTCTTCTTGAGTTATGACCATGTTCCTCATATGTCCAGTACTGTTTAGATGTAGGAGGTAGACTAGAGCTCTACACTTTCATCACAATACACAGAAATTGTTCAATGGAAGTTAACAAGCTGACAGCGTTCACTTCAGATAACACAATAATAGGAAGTCTTTCTAAAATATGAAATAGCTCAGGAGTGATTATCAAGTGCATCAGCAATTAGATTATTTTCAAGCCTTTACTCATTTTAGGCTATGAGTACATTAAAGCTTATGTTCCTGTTTCTATTCACATATTTAATGTGAATGAAATGAAATTTTATCATGAAACAAATTGTTAATTGGAGAAAATTTGTTTTAGTATTTTGTTAAATATACTTTTACCTTGTAATTTATTTCAAACCTTGAAATATTGACAAGGTACTGACATAATTGTCTCATCAAATCCATTCATTTTAAAATTTGATATTTTTTATGATATCGTAAATATTACCAAGAATAGATTTAAATAATGATTGCTTTGTTAAGCATAGGACTAGATAATTATGCTATGATAAAAAATTGTGATTGATTTATTTCTTCAGATTAAAGAAAATAGAAAATTTAGAGGCATTACAAAAATTGGATGTGTTAGATTTACACGGAAATCAGGTAAAATATATATTCTATATCTGTTAATATAGTCACTATATCATAATTATAATTGAAAAAAAAATGTAAATTTTACGTGAATAATGTTTGCCAGAGTGAACATTAGAATTTAGGTGTATAAATTTTGAAAAATATTTTGGTTGTGAACCTGTTTTGTTGTTTCTCACTGCAGAGTTCACAAACAATTTGATGACAAGAAATGTTTGATTTCCTGCATCAGTATAACATATAAAGATTGAATAAAATATATTGACATAAATATGTTCCTTTCCTTGTCTTTATACAGTTGTACCTTTTGTAGGATATATTAGATTTACTAATGTTCTCTCTCAGACGTCTGCATCATGTGCACTTTGGTTAAGGTTTTGCAGCAAGTTTATATCTCCAAAACTACAGAAGTAAAGGGGTTGAAACTTCACACACATTTTTGGAGCTTAATAGAAGGTTACTGTTAAAGGTCCATAACTCTTATGTGAATCTCTAATGTGAATTTTGACAGAAATATGGCCCTTTTTAAACTGAGAAACTTTACTTTATCCAGGCTCTTGATTAACTATCAAGCACTTCATTTGATGTTGAAATATATTTATAAATATTGAAATATGATGATTAAGAAATAATATCGGTCTTAGCGGTGTTTATCGGCTATTTAACACCGGTTTGGAGTTTTGATGCGTATGAATTGACCACGAAGGCCATAGGCAACAATAAAAACTTACGTCGTATTGTGTTTACATCAGTGCCCTATTTATCATTCTTGTATGTATGAAATAACGTCAGCTTGTTTATGAATGAGTTATTTACTTAGGATGACATCATTACGCTGCTTACGGATTGGCGCTGTTTTGTTGAAATATTAATTAACTGATCTGGATCAAATATGTGGCGTTAGTGTATGTGAGATATTATTTAGGTATTGTATGAAAGGAAAACATTTATAATAAGAACTGAAAATATAAATAAAAATGCTTTTTATTGTTGCTTTAAGAGGCTTTGTAAACTATATAATCGAGGTTGAAAACGTAACAGCCGCATACAAGTAGTCCCTAAACAGTGTTTATTGGCAGTTAAACACCAGTTTTTTTCCTTCTTTGTCTATAGTGACAAAATCACGTGAGTGTAAGAATTTGAAATATATTGGCAAAAATAGTAATAGTAATTCTGATATTATATGACTATGTTTACAGATATCATGTATAGAAAACTTGAACCACCTGTCTGAGTTACGAGTGTTGAACCTTGCTGGGAACCAGATCACTCATGTTAATGGACTTACTGGCATGGACTCCCTGGCGGAGCTGAACTTGCGGCGCAACAAGATCCGGACTGTAGAAGAGGTTGCCAATCTTCACACCCTGCAGCGTTTATTCCTCAGTTATAATGATATACATAGGTATTTATTTGTTTATATTATAATATTATACCCCAAGTACAAGTGGCTCTAATGCCAGGATTATTCCCAGGTTTTAGTGATGTTGAAAATCTTTTCGAAATGTCTGCCAATATGACCAGTGTAGAGCAGTGCCAGAGAAGACATTCATTCCTGACACTTACAACTGTTACAGTTCATTAAAAATAATATAAATCCTGAATATCCTGAAATTAACCAGGGTAATCCCAAGACAAATCAAGAAGGGTAAAAAAAACAAAAAGGGAAAAAGGTAACTGATAAAGAATGTTGGATTTATTTATAATTATGTCGTCTTGATATGTTCTTATATTACAAGATTATATCTTATTATCTAATCACCAAACCTTCCTTACACTCATATAATTATAACACCTTTAGCAATGTACATAATTATTATTGTTGGAATCATTTTCATGACAATTTACACTGATAATATGACTATGCAGATGTATATGTTACAGAAATATGTCTTTTGACTTCCGTCCAATTTTGATTATGGTAATTGGCCTTATTCTGGCCACAGCATGCAAAACTCATTTCAAAAATATTAACCACTGTCAGTGCCATTATTTTCAATGTGAGTTGAGACTTCTTTCTAAGCCAACTGTGGAGGCAAATGTAAGCTGATGAGCAAGAGATTGGTTCACAACTTTCCAATTTTTTTGCCTTGTAAATGGTAAAACAGAGATGTGGATATTATAGTATAGTTTGTAGTAAAAAAATGTATGAACTCGTAATGGTATTTCATTGTAATAAGAGATAGTTACATTAATTTCACATATAGATAATGCTGATCTATCACGTTGTTTGACCTTTATTCAGAATATCCGTACCAACCCATGCATTATAAAATACAAGGGGTGTAAGAAGTATTCTTAGTTGTTGATATTTAATGGTATTAGGTATCTTTTTGCAGTTACCAGGTTTTTAAAGATGGCCACACTAACTCTATAACCATGATTCTCTATAAGAAGTGGTTTGACCATCATTAGCTCTTGTTAATCATGCAGAAAGCATGTTAATTTCATAGTTATTTGTTTGTATATATGTTCAGCTCTTCATGTACATTGAAGGAAATAAAGTATCTATCTATTGTTGTAGCTTAAAAACATTTTATAGTTTCGGATAGTGATACAGGAAATATATTGGTATTATGGCAATCCCAGCTTGATACAAGTCTATTTGTGAAATGTTCAATTATGTCAACTTTTCATTTGTTTATCACTCGCTGACTTTTGGAGAGTTTTTTGTGTGTTTGCAAGTTCAACAAGTTTTCTCCAAAATTTGACCCAGACATCATTTCTAGTGCATTCTTTTATTTGCCATATTGCCATATTCGAACCATGTTTATTTATTCAATTGTGATATTTTAAGGACTTGTTTTTGTCTGGCCTGATCATGCATTGGATATCAATAAGATATTCTTTGCAGTAAATGTTTATGTTTGTTTTAAATCTTATAAAGACGTCATTTTATTTTAAAGAGCAGAAAATCATTGGAATTTTCTATACTAAAACTCTTTCTTCTATAGATTAATAAGAAGTATTTATTCAGGCTCTCTCTTATACCATATTTGGCATTTCCTTTCATATGCAATGCCTTTTAAAATGATTTTTTCACAACAATGGAATGTCTGACGGTTGAACTGATTCTATAATGATTGTTATTTTAAGGAATTTTACATTATAAGATTGTTGAACAGCGTAAAATTAATGTATTAACAATAAATATTTGCAGGAAACTATTGTACTTTACTTTCAATAAAGTCATTACCATCTACTTTCTATACAAGACTTGAAAAAAGATTTGATAATTTTGGTGTATTATATTTGTAAATATTTATTCTTACTATAATAGTTCAGGCTTTACTTTTGATCTTCAACATAAAAAAGTTCTCTCCGCTTTATTATTGATACTGTGATGATGAAGTCCTTTTTGGAATGAAATAAAAAACAACCAATTTTATGGATTAAAATTTTTAATCAATCAATTTATGGACAGAAATTTTTTAGAGAAAAGGAGATTAAAATATTTTTTACCGGAAGTGAAAATGTTAAATGTGTTGTATAGGAGAATTTTGTATTCCAGGTTTAGGTATATTATGTTAACAGCCTACATTTTATCCACTCAGTAGAAGACTGTTGTATCTGCTGTATTATATGTTAGAAGCTATGATTGTTTTGTTAGAGGTGACAATTTGTCATTGTCAGATTTCAGTCCGAGCAAGGTTATTTTTCTTATCTTAAACAAGTGTATAATTTTAACTTTTAACTTCTATACAGCAAGTGATTATACTAATTTGGGTAGAAATTATTCAAACAAAAAATAGATCAGTCAGAAAGCCTTATCTCTGTAATAACTTTTTCAATGACGATGATTTTTCCACGTATATTTTATTTTAACTCTGATACTTGTTTGTACATTGAAGAAACAAACTTGAGATTATAAACTGGGAGACGTCAACCTTCGATCATATTAAACAAATATTTTGATAAGCAATTACTGCAGAAAAACTAAACCTGACACGGTTTTTATTGTATTTATTACATGTACATAATCAATATTACAATCTATTGATAATCTGATCAACTTTAATTGATGATTATCAGCTTTGTATACGTATTCAAATATATTTAAATTATTAAACAGAAATTTGTGGTTGTTCTTTTGTTATAATGGGAAAATGGTTGTTTATTTTTATTTTCTGTCTCCATTATTTATACACGGAGTGAAATAACTTTTTCTCTTGTGCAATTGTTACAGTGCTAGTAATAAAAATGTTTACATATACAAGTTAATACAAGGATTTATGCTACAAAAGGAGGTTTTTAATGATTATTTTTTAACTGGTTAAAATAATAACATGAAGAATTACTCAGCACAAATGTCTGTGTAATCGGGATTTTATTTAATCTGAAAATAAGTTTGTATATTTTGTTTTTCATCAATTTTTTTTTAAGTTCTTTGTTTAACAATTAGCAAATGGAAAATAATTCTGATACTTTTTTGATATCAAAATATATCTAAAATCTCGCACATGCTTTTGTAAATATGTCTTAGGATAAAAAGGAAAAATTTAAGTAAAATGTTCACAGTCTCTATGTTATAATAAACAACGGTCTTATCTACCTGTATTATAAAATAATTAATAGATACTGAAGATTCCTTTATAACACATCTTTTTAAGCCATAGTGACTAGACCTTGTCAGGACATTGATATAAATTAGTTAATATTAAATATATCTAATTGGTGCTGCAAATATTCTCATTTTATATGTAAGGTTTGTAGGGTTGATTACCTAGCTACAGATAAAGTTTGGAATCTCTATACAAGAATTTAAAGGTGTGTTGTCTGAACATAGTGAATGTGATTAATTGATAAATGATTGTATCAATTGTTTTCAGACATCTAGTGACACTGTTCTATTTTATTCAAAGTAATCTGTAAAAATAAGAATGTTGTCAGATTCTGAAAGTAATTCTATAATTTAAGGAAAATAGTTAAAGCACAATTTTGCACTACTTTTTTTCAATTCAGTGAGGATTTTCTTCATATAAGTGTGAAAGGATTTATGTAAAAAAATGACAAAGTTATTTGGAATGCTGATATCTTAAATATGATTATTTGTGGATTTTTTTTAACTAAATCAGCTGCATGAATGTGTTTTTTCTGTTGAATTTTGGTTCTGGGAACCAGTCAAACAATGCTTATTTTTGATTGGTCTATTTTCAGCCAATCAGGTGCTTGAACATTTTGTCAGACTGGCTCCAGTATTTATAACAATTGTATAAAAGTCATCAGATTTTAGCATTAAAGTATGAAAATAAGTGTTTGACATTGACAGGTATTTTGTATTAAGAATTTCATCTGACTTCAATCAAGACTGTTATAACAAAGAACCACCACGTTGAATTCAGAAATATAAATTTTTTTTGCTTCATATCTAAAACTTATAGGGAGTTATTAAAAGTTGGCATTTTCAATAGAAAGGGTTGATTTTTAATATTGATGATAGTGTTTATGGTTTTTATCTCAAATCAGAGTGTAAATTTCAATATTCAAAGGTGGCCGTTATTTAATTATGTCCATGATCAATAGCAATATTTATAAAGTTTCCTCATTTTATTGGAAATTTGGAAAGCAGGACTATATTGTTTTCACTTGTAGTGAATACATATTATATAAAGAGAAAAGTTTGATGCATAATTCATGAAAGTAAATTGATTTTTTAGAAACATTAAAGAAAAATATTATGACTTAATCTGAATGAAAATTTATGCATTTTCTTTGAAGGTGGTTAATTTGATGGGTTAGTGCTTACCTGCAAAAACTCTTTGAACTTTTTCCTTCTCAAAGTTGAAATATCTTAAAGTTAAAATGCCCCAGATATTATTTCAGGTTAATGCAGAGAAAAAGAGACAATCTTTTTCGTGTATTTTTGATAGTTTTATGCAGAAAAGGGATATAATGTGATTTTATGGTGCTGATAAGGAGAAGTAACTTTTTTTTGTTATTTTAATAAATTTGAGTAAGAAAATAATTATTTTATGTTGTGAGGGATATAACTCCTTCATGTTTATCAAGTTCAGTGATAAAGGGAAGTTACTCATCTTATTTGTTTATAAGGGAGGCAACTTTATTTAATATCTTATTATGTGATAGAGAAAGGGAAGTAACTTGTACTTGAATAAAACAATGATGAATGTGGATAAAATCACAAGGTTGATGTGATGTTATACAGACATGAGCCATGTGTAAGATGACTTGTTACAAGACTTTGTTTAGTTTATAATTCAAGAAGTAACTTTATTGTTTTCAAATGTTGTAAAATGTAAATGCTAACTGCTGATTTCGTAGAAGTGAAGTTAAAAATGTGAAGAGTTCAAAGATGAATATGTACAGGTGTAAAACTGAGGTGGACTTTTGTGTAGGAAATAATGGACGTGACAGATACAAGGATTTTATATCTAACTCGGGTAA